ATAAACACCTGCTGCCATGGTCATTAAACATCACCTAAATACATATATCCTCCCTCAATCATCAACCAATAAATATCCTCCATCATTCTCTCAAACCATTATAATCAAACCCAAAGTAAAATCATCCAAACTCTCATAGACATACAAACTAAACAACAAGAAAGAATCATACCTCGACAATCTTTATTTTGCCTCTAATGATTGAAGAATCCAAAAAGAATCAAGAGGTGAGGTTTGCGGCTGGGGTTGGAGGCTTTCTCTGATTTTTTTTTTGGTTGTAACACCCATTTTTCTAAACCGATAAAATTATTAGAAGTAGATGTTAGGAGTTAACTTCAATAATGTTATGGTGTTATATATAGTTAATTCTAACATTACATTGAGTTATATTTTACAGGTGAACGCGACGAGGACTCGAGGCGCTAAGAACAAGTTCATGCCATGTTATAGAAATTATATATATATGTTAAATTTTTTTTAATGATTTGATAAATGAATATATGTTCATGATATGATGCACTTCATGTTATAATGCATGGAATTAAGTGTCTTAGGAAAATTCTAAGTTTTTTCTTGATTTTTCTTTTTAGACAAAAGAACCATTTCCATGACGTTAATTTTCAGCCCTATTTTGGACCTCTAAAATTCTGAAATTATTCCATAGTCTATACAAAGTTGTAGATCTTTTCATAAGCTTTTCAACGCCTTCTCATTTGCGTAAATTGGACATCGGAGTAAGAAGATGTGGCCAGTATACCATCAGAATACCCAGCAGTCTCCGACCAGGTTACTGCATGAGAACAAGAATGAAAATTCTAGAGGCCCGTTTTGCAATATTCATGTTATTCTTAACATTAGTTCTCTTTTTCCATGTGTAATTCTCGGTATTTTTTTTTTAACCTGGCAAAAATCACTTTAGTACCGTATATTTTTTGCAATATTAAAAATGATACCTTGATATTTTTAAAATTATTATTTTAGATGTCAAATGTCTTTTATACCTTTTTTAGTCTAAAAAAATTAAAAATGTAAAAAAAAAATCAAAGAAACATCTAAAAACTCGAATCAAAATTTAGACAACAGATCTAAAAGTAAAAGTAAAAGCTACAACTTAAAACACTCAAAAAGATAAATGTGTGTTTAATTTTAAGTAAAAGGTAATGTTTGTTTAATTTTACGGTTTGAATTGTAAGATTTGAGGGACAAAAACGAAATGTCAAATTGAAGATAAATTATGCCAACCGGAAAAGAATGCAATGAGCTTAAGGTCCAACTGATGGAAAAATATTAGCATTGCTTTTGTAGGCTTTTTTAAAGGGATATTTATATTTTTATACTATGTGTTTTAAGTTTATTTAAAATCTATGAGCGTATTTGAAACTCATTCTAAAATAATTTTATTTTTTGTATGAAAATGAAAATGAAAACGTTTTCAATCTCAAACATTAATCATTTTTAAAAATATGTTTGATAGTTTTATTAAGAGATTGTTTTCAATGTAAAAAAACCCATTAATGTATCTCTTTGTCTCTCTCTGTTCGAGAAAGGAGAAAATGAAAACAAAAAATGAAAAATGACTAAAAGTCATTTTTCAATTCTCTCTCATTTTACACTAAACCAAAAAATCATTTTCATTTATATTTTTTATCTTTATTGCGCCAAACGCCGTTTTGGAAATGTTTTCATTTTTTCTTTCTCGAAAAATGTGAAAAATAAAAACGGGATCAATTTCAAACACGGCCTATATCTTTAGTTTTTGATCTCATCAAATGTTTACCTTCAAATTAGATTTAATATACAAATCTATGCTTATCTCGGTTTGACCTTTAAAATGACTAAACTATCCTTAAGAAAAAAAGAAAAAAAACACTAAAACTTTCTAATATTATGATAATTAAAAATTAATAACACAAAAAAAGACCCAGTGGAATGGTGTTTTATATATTTTAGAGGTCAAAATTGTGAGTTTAAAGTTTTTTTAGGTTTTTCTTTTCTTTTTCTATGTTTTTATTTAAGGGTATTTTAGGTATTCTTAAGGTTAAAATTAAGGATTGATTGTGGAAATGTATAAATTTTAGTATTAAATCTAATTTGAAGGTATATATTTGATGAGATCAAAACTAAAGGTATAGTTTTTAAATAAACCTAAAATACAAGGTATAAAAAGGTAAATATCCCTTTTTAAATTGTTAAAGAGTTCATAGCATATCAATTTTTTTTTTTTAATCGCATATCAGGGTGTTTGCTACCCCTATTTTTTTTTTCCAGCAGGTTCTAAATTGTGCCCAACGATGTAATTTAAGAAGTAGATTAGGGGTTGTTTTTGCATAGGCATTTTTGTGATCACCATTAAAAAATTTGCCAAAATATATTAATAATAAGTTATAGTTCTAAATTTATTGTTTAAATTGCCTACAAACTACAGATTCTTATTACAAAATTTTTTACTGAAATGCTTTTAATAGTGATTAAATATATAAAAAATAAAAACAACAAAATATAAGTTTATTGTTTATTTTATAATTGTGATCCTAAAAATCATTTAATGTCTTAAAAATTTACTTTCATTTTTTACTGTTATTTATTTTTACGTAGATTTATAATATGTTCGCAGCGGCGGAAAACGAGATTCTGCTTAACGCAAGAAATACAAGTGGAATTATGAGCTTGGTGGCACCTGTGGAAATCAAGATGCTTTTAGTATATTTTTGACATTTGATTTTAATCATCACATTATTCATGTTTTCAAATTGTTTTAAAATTTACTTCTACATCCTATAAAACTTAATAAGGATGATAAAAACTAAATATAGTATTTAAAATGATATTATAAATTGGAGTGTTAATCAAAATAATGTATTAAATATTCTATTTCCATATCTCTTAATTCTTAATATGACATTAAGTTAATATTTTATATTTGGGTCGAAGATGGTCTAAGACGGGAGAAAGAGAGAAATAGGCCAAGACTTGAGATGAATTAAAATTAATAGGCCAATAGTTTACATAAGTTAATAAATAGGCCAAATTACTGTTTTCGTGAATAACTTGTCTAGTTATGAATCATAACTTGACAAGTTATTCACGGTTTTTGTCCATAATTTGTCTGGCTATGAATCATAACTTGACAAATTTATCCTTAACTTATCTGGTTATGAACCATAACTTGACAAGTTATGACTTATTAATTTCTATAACTAAAAATTGGCATATATACTTTCTTAAGGTTTACATATTGACCTATTTTCTACTATTTCCCGTCTAAGACATGACTAACTTCTCTAACAGGATCAAGTACCATGTAGTCTTGACATTCTGCTCTTTAGCTTTTTTATTTTTATTTTTATTTTTTGTTTTGATATCATTCTAATTTCTGATATTAAAACAATGCTTAAACATCACTTCTCATGATACGTGATGCATAATCAATACATTACAAAACAAAAATATATTAACTAACAAGAGCTACCTATATACGTCCACTTTCTAACCCCCACCAAACCAACAAATAATATTGCCTCCCTTCAAAGCTAAGTGCACACTACATTCTTTCATAATTCCTTCCAAATCCCCATCATGATAATGACACGCTCATTCCCAGCCAAAAATGCCCACTTCATGAGTCTTCCAACAAACACACATTAAAATCTCAAAACTCTCCATTTCCAAATGTTATCCCAATATATAATATAGAAACCATTTCCATTGAAAAACTCTCTCAAATCACTTCTCACTCCCTCACCAATATGTTCTTCTTCTTCCTCTTCCTTCTCCTATTTTCCTTCCCCAATTTGACACTCTCTTCCCATTGCACCACCCAAACCCCAACCAAAACCTTCCAAAAATGCATGACCCTCCCAACCCAACAAGCCTCCATTGCATGGACCTTTCACTCCCACAACTCCACTCTTGATCTCACGTTTTTTGGCTCCTTCATCTCCCCCTCCGGCTGGGTCGGCTGGGGGATCAACCCGATCTCCGCCGAGATGACCGGCACCCGCGCCCTAATCGCCTTCCCCGACCCCAACTCCAGCCAAATAGTCCTCCTCCCCTACATCCTCGACCCCACCGTCAAGCTCCAGAAGACCCCGCTCCTCTCCCGCCCTCTCGACCTCCGCCTCGTCTCCTCCGCTGTCGCCCTCTACAGTGGCAAACTCGCCACCGTACACGACGGCGCCGCCGTCCAAATCCACGCCACTCTCAAACTCCCCACCAACACCACCACCAAAATCTACATTGTCTGGAACCGAGGACTCTACGTCCAAGGTTACTCCCCCACCATCCACTCCACTGCCGCCACCGATCTCTCCTCCTTCACCACAGTCGACCTCCTCTCCGGCTCGTCCTCCGCCGCCGCTCACCAAAACAACCTCGCATTCCTCCGAACACTCCACGGCGCCATCAACGCCGTCTCGTGGGGAATCCTCCTCCCCGGCGGCGCCATCACGGCGAGATACTTACGTCACATACAGTCCCTGGGCCCGACTTGGTTCTACGTCCACATGGGGATTCAGCTCTCCGGCTTCGTCCTCGGAACAATCGGCTTCTCCATCGGCGTCCGCCTCGGGAAACTCTCCCCCGGAGTCGTGTACGGCCTCCACCGGAAGCTCGGGTTCGCGGTGTTCTGCCTGGCAGCGCTGCAGACGCTGGCTTTGCTGTTCAGGCCGAAAACGACGAACAAGTTCAGGAGGTATTGGAAGTCGTACCACCACTTTGTGGGGTACTCGTGTGTCGTTTTGGGGGTAGTGAATGTGTTTCAGGGTTTTGAGGTTATGGGGGAGGGAAGGTCGTACGCGAAGTTGGTGTATTGCATGTGTTTGGCGTCGTTGGTGGGGGGTTGTGTGTCGTTGGAGGTGAATTCTTGGATTGTGTTTTGTAGGAAAGCTAAAGAGGACAAGTTGAGGAGGGAGGGTTTGATTGTTGGATCCGATAAAGGGAGTAGCGGAATCCATAATAGTGGAATAATCCACAACTGAGATGCCATTTTTTTTTTTTTTTTTTTCTCTAAATGAAACCTGAGATGGTAATTAAAGTGGGAAAATTTTTCTTTTCTTTCTTCTCTGTGTTTTTCCTTTTTCCAATTTGGTAAAATGGTTTATTACTTTATTATCTTATTATTCCCAGTGGAAGGATGGATATATACACGTAGCTCCGTTCTTTTCACTGATTCGAGTTTTATTACAGTAAAAAGTTCTTAAAAACAGTTAAATTTAACTTTTTTTTACTACAGTAAAAAGCTCTCACATAACATCATATCTCAACTCAAATTAAAAATTCAAATTAACGAACCGAACGGACTCCGTATAGCGCTTTTTCTTCATAATCAGATGCCCGTCGTGTTTTGATTTATTTGCCAATGCTCAAGGTGTAGGGTATAGCGCTTTTTTTTTTTTTTTTTTTTACCCTTCTTTTATCCCTAATGAAATGATGCTTCAATATGTGTCACGTTTTGATCATGATCGATAACATTAAAAGAACGATAATATGTTTGCTCAGTCTTGTTCATTTTTTTTGGGTTGGAAGTGAATATGTTGGGTTGGTGAGTGACGGGACTTCAAAAGCATGGATTCCTTAGGCCACAAGGAAAAAAAAATGTTTACGAAAAGCGTCACGCCTCATCATCACAACAAAATTAAAGCATCAAATATATCCTTAAAATACCTGTTTATAATCACCAATATTCACCTTGATAACCATGGCGGAGAGGGAGGTGAGGCCCGGGGCATATGCCTCTCTTGGATTTTTGATATTTGATTTTTTAGTATAAAAATTTTCATATATGCTCTCCTTATCAATAAAAATTTTAAATATATCCTCACAAAATCCAATATCAAATTATTTTATTTCTTATTGTTCTTTTGATCTTTTTCTATTAAATTTTATATTTTAAATGTACCTAACTGATTTTTTTCTCTAATTTATTCTTATGAAAACAATTTTTCTTTCACATTGGTCTCTTCTAAAATATTTTTGGATATAATCTAAACTATATAAAAAATGACATTAAAATATTTCTTCTCAAAATGTGTCCCTAATTAAGAATTTTTTTTTTCAAACAACCCTCTCAATTACGACTTTCTCACTCGCATATTTTCTTTATTTTGCCCTTATTGAAATAATATGTATTCATTCAAATGTGCCATGTATACTTAAAGATCTTTTTTTTCCTCATTTGACACTTGCAGTTACTACTTTCTCATAGGTATTATGTACCTCTTAAATAGTTTTTCTTATCTAATTTACTTGCTAAAATCTTTATTACTCAAGTATGTTCAATAGTCTATATATATATATATATATATATACTATTCATCTAAAAATATTAGGAATTGATTTCATTAGTATTTTTTACGCTTTTAGTTTAAGCTCCCCTGAATTAAAATTCTGGCTCCGTCACTGTAACCATCGGTAGAGAGAGATGTGAAAAACAAGTAAACCTTACCTCTATTAGAAGGAAAAGGAAAAGAAAAGAAAAAAAATGTCATTAAGGATTAAGAAAAGTCAATTGCATGACCTTAAAAATTTTATTCACTACCATTAAAAATGGCTATTTGCTACAATCTTTTGTTGTTTGTTTGTTTGTTTTTTTTTTTTTTTTTTTTTAAAGAATATAGAATCTAAGATTGCAAATCTTCCGTTTAATTTTCTGTTTTTCACATCTTGCTCCTTTTTTTATTTTTTATTTTTATTTTTGATACATTACTAGCTGCTCCCGGAGGCTAAGATCTCTCCTTGAATCCACCCCACTCCTACATAAATTTCGTCAACTTTACTTTAAATTTTTTTGAAATTCAAATTAATTAATAGGAAAATATCCTGAATACTCTATCTATTTAGTAAATAACACGTTTTGGTCCTTTATTATGTAAATATCTGACGTATCTTTGTTATTTTTGAAAAAAGTCTAAAAGTATCTCTCGCGTGTTGAATTTTAAAAATAACAATATTGCCCTTACTAAGCCATGTCAAATACCATTTCAAGTATTAATAACTAAAAAATTAGATAAAATAAAAAGCAGTAAATTATCCAGTAAAAATACAACAATAAACTTCCTTAAAAAGAAAAAGAAAAGAAAAAGAAAAATTAGAATACTCAAAAGACCCACTATATTTTACTTAAATATCACCTTTACATCCTTATTATGTAAATACTCAAAATTTTTCGTGTATTTATATAATCAGACTCAAAACAACCCTAAAACAATTAAACTTCTTTTTCCATTCTAATTGAATGTTATTTTAACCATGGCTTAACTAAAAAGTTATAAAATGTTCAAATAAATATTTCAATCAAATTATTTTGAAAAGTTTTAATTATTTAAAATTACTTTTATTTAATATTTTAGTTTAATAATGTATTAAATTATATTTAATAAAAGTTGAAAATTGGTAATCTTGTATTTAAAAATTTCAATTGTTTCAGGGGTATATTGAGTCAGGTTTTGTGAACTCGAGGGATGTTTTAAATATTTGCATAACAAAAGGAGCAAAGGTGGTATTTACAAAATCCAAGGCGCTTTGGATTATTTAAAAAAAAAAAAGAAAAAAAGAAAAGAAAAGAAAACGACAACAAACGACGATGGTATCCCACTCTTAAGCAGCAGTCGCTCGAACTCGTGTAGTCATGTGGAAACCAAAAACGGTGCCCAAAGTCTGTCTGAGATCACAGGGAAATACAGAAAAGAAATGGTGGGGGTGAGTCTAGAGGGAGAGAAGGTGATTCTGGTTCCGTACATGGCAGAGCACGTGCCTAAATACCACGAATGGATGCGAGACCCTGCTCTTCTCCAGGCCACCGGCTCCGAGCCCCTCACTCTCGACGAGGAGTACCAGATGCAGCTTTCCTGGACCCAAGACCCTTTCAGTTAATCACACACACACTCTCTCTCTCTCTCTCTCTCTCATGCACTTTTTTGTTGAATAATTGAACTGGGTTTATTTCGATTTTGATATCTGACCAGTGAACGAAGGATTTCTCTTGTTGTTTGTGTTGATTGGTTGGTTTAATTATGTGGGTTGATCGTTTGTGGTGAAAATTGTGTTGGGTTGTCTTGGTTTTTCTGAATTGTGGAGAATTTTGGCGGTGGGTTTTGCAGAGAGGACTTTTGTTGTGTTGGATAAGCGTTTGGTTGTGGGAGAGTTTGTTCATGGAGACCCTCATGTGGAAGGTTTGGCAAATTTCGTTTACCCCTCGTTTTATTTGTTTATTTCCTTTTGTTCAAAAGGAATTTATTCATTAATTTCTCTTTCAAAATTTTGGCTAACGATATGGAGGTGAATTTTTACCTTGAATCGGTGAAACCTTTTTTGCACGATCACTTTAATGGAATTTAATGTTGTTTACATACGATGAGTTTGTGGAAATGGGAAAATGATTGTTCTTTTCAAGGAACAATTTCATTCCCCCTATTTTCAACATTTTGACAATCAAGCATGTTATGTGTCCATATTGTTTTGGGGCAATAATGAAATATACTAGTGGGAGTAATGTTCTGAGATTCGACTTAGTGTGATTAAGTATTATATTACACACATACTAGTACAGTTAGATTAACGACATAAGATGCCTTACAATACACCTTCTATAAAGAAGAGCAATTTAGAGTGTTTTCTTGCATCAAATGCTCTTTAGAATACTACATGTCTAAAGTCCATTGTTCAAAGCTGAATCAAGGTCCAATCCAATACAAGAGCTACACCCAGAATAGAAAGATTTTTATACTTCAATATATATACGTTATAACCTTAATCACAAAAGAATTTTTTTTTTTTTTTGGGAGTCCATAGACACCACTTGTGGGAATTTTCCAAAGCAAGAGGAAGGGGACCATTCAAGTGGGGTGCATAATTATTAAGGCTTCCTGAAAGAAGGTATGAGTATATTTTGTCTCTTCACCTTGTGGATGAAGCCAAGCTGCAAATGACAAAGGAGGCAGCCAACAAAAACTAAAATGGTTTGGAAGCACAACCATTGAGCCTGGTGCCTACAAAAGGATCCTTCAGTTGAGAATTGTGCAAGTCTCAAGGGACATGTGACAGACAGGAGAAAGACTGAACTAGGCTTAAGACTAGGGATTTAGAAGAGTACCATTATAAGCAGAGTACGAAAAAACAGAGAAGAGTTTAAGAGTATATAGAGACTTTTGGGAAAATTTTATAAATGTTAAGATGGAAGGTTTAAGAAGAGAGCTCAATACACTAGGGTTTTTTTTTTTTTTGAAGTAAAATAGAGCTAAAATAAATGTTAATCCCAGATAATGACAAAATAACAAAGAACAGCAGTCCATCTTCATCGTGGGAGTTATACATTACCCTTTGCATAATTCTAAAGAGCAATTGATCCATAAAAACACAAGTTTCTTTTCTTGATTGTTGGTGTATTGTAAGGCACCTTAACTCATTAGTTTAACCGCATTGGTATGAGTGCTTATTGGGCAATGTTATACTTAATTGCACCTGCGTCGTACCCCATGACATTATTCCATTATCCATCTTCATTCTATTACTGCTCCAAAACACATATTAATTGATTTTCTGGTACCTACATATATGTTTGTTCTGTTTTTTATTTAAAACGTGTGGCAGAGATATTATTTCCTTTTTTTTTTGTTGTTCTTAGACTAGAATTTTAGAGGCTCCAAATGTTGGGGTTGATGTAGGATTTGAGAGGGAATCGCTATTTCCTAAAGTCGAAGACCTGTTGGCTGTCAGCTAAACAAAGCTTTACAAAGAAATATATTATTTTTAAAAGTTGAAGTACCTTAGTTGCTTATATTCTTTGTTCACCTTTCCCTTTTTCCCCCCTCCCCCTCGTAAACCATCTGTTATGATATGCGAGTAGTAATGCTGGTCCCTTCCCTTTTCTCCAGCAATGGTGGGTGATGTGAATATCTATATGAATGACCCAGATGATCCTCAAATGGCAGAGATAGAAATAATGATTGCTGAATTGAAATGGTATTCTCTTTGCTTTCTTCTGATAATAAAAATGCGTGAAAAGCTTGTTTGGTGCCAATTCTTTCTTTTTCCACTTTTGCCCTTTATTATGTATATTTATGTTTGCGCGTATGATACAATGTCTCCATCAAAGTGTACGCGTCTTTTTTTCTTTTTGTCTTTGTTTCTTTTTCCCTGGAGTACACATCTTTGTTTCTGTTGCTAGAGAGAGATCTACAAAGTATCATTGGTCAATTGGTTCTAGATAAATGCAGGTGGACATATGATGTAGTGTCTTTTATTATTCTTAACGGCTGCACATAAATCGCCATTTGTTTTATTTTTTTGGTGATCTCTAAAATTAGTCCCATAACCATTATTGTGTTTGTCGTACTAAAATTACAGTATTCTGAAATGAGGATTTAGTATGTCGATATCCATTGAAGTAATCTTGGTGTTTTTTTTTTTTTTTTTCCTTTTTTTTAATTAAAGCGAAATCTAGATATTTATTGATTGTTTTGCTGTAAACTCATGAGTGCTCCCATGGTGTACAACTTAATCTTATCTATGATCATTTTGCTCTTGCTAGCATAGCCGTGGTACGGGACTTGGGAAGGAATCTGTTTTAATGATGATGGCATTTGCAGTTAAGAATGTGGGGATCCACGCCTTTCGTGCCAAAATTGGTGAATCTAATACGTCATCTCTCAATATGTTCCGGAAATTGGTATGTTCTCTCTCTTTGAGTCTCCGGCTCAAAACCTTTTTTTTTTTTTTTTTTGGAACAAAGAGAAAGTACTGCATTTTTTAGATCTTTTTTCGTAAAATTGCTTAAATTTGTCATATGCTTGGTGTAGGGCTTTGAAGAGATCTCTCACAGTGAAATCTTCAAAGAGGTAAGCTCATTTTGTTTTATTATTATTTTTTCGAGTGCCATAACCCAAAGTAATATGTGCACGAATGGTTGAGTTTGTCTGTAAGGACTTCAAGAGCTGCCTAATTCTGGTTCATTGGTTGATATAGGATACGCTTGTTCATCCAAATTTACATTTTTAAAATGTCTATTTCCGCAATGAGCATTTTCCTTTACATTTTATCTACTGCTGGACTCCTTGACCTTTATTCAATTGTTCCCTTCCTTCTATTTTGTTTGAGTAACCTCGCCATTGAATTCAACATAAAGAAATGAGGGCTTATGTAGACCTATTGACGTTTATAAAAGAAGACAGATTTATGTGACATAAATCTACATCTATTTTTGGATGTAAAAGTTTGCATATGAACACGAGAAGTTTATTTGTCCTTGGCGAATTTGCTCTAGTTAAGCATCTAAAGAATAAAGGCAAATTTGTAGCCTTTTGTTTTGTTTTGGCTATTTCCATATAGTATTATTGTCTGCTGAGTTTTGTTTGTTTAGCATATTTATCTTTTCATATTTGGCAGGTGACTTTGGAGTTGCAATTAACCGAGGCCAAACGTGGTGAGCTGTTACGTCGAACAGATACTGTGCTCACGCACACATAGCCACTCCGTGCTTTACAATATTCCCCAAAGGTTTGAGGTCATAGGGCTGCAGAATTTGCTGAAAACCTTTATCTAAATTAATTATTTCCTTGGAACATAATGACCGCAATAGTATTTCAAAACCATAAGAATGGATCACTCTAGCTAGTTTGGATATGCCTTTTTTTATCTTGCAATTTCCTTGTTTTTATACCCCATAAGAATGGATCACTAATATTCTAATGTATCAAACTAGTGCCTTTTTATCTGACTAATATCGGAATGAGTCCTTGACTAATATGTCTATTGACATCTATTTACTGGATAATTCGGTTAGATTTTAGTTTGTCACATTTTTTCGCTCAGCATTGATGTATGAAAAGTTTTAAGTAGATAGTTGTTAGATACAGAATATGCTATATGGCATAAGGCAATTTCAAATGGCATGACTACGGTATTTGAACACATCCATCTTGATAATAACTATCATACCACGAGTAACAATATAACGATAGACTGAGCTACGAAACTTGTTCGTAATTCCTAATAGATTGCAGGAGGGCTAAGTACTTTAGAATCGTTCTGAACTTCTCTATCTTTGTTGCTAACCCGACTTGAAATGGATGGTCTCCATGGATTGAACATTTGGCCCTGAAGTTTGGTGACCCTGAGGAATGTTGTCTGAAACCGAATTCCCTGCTTGCCACACATGGTTGAGAGAAGTTTTGGTAGCTAAAGGGCCCACGACAGCAAAGATAGTCATCTCACCGCTGGCATATTCTGCAGAGATGTTTGAGACTTGAAAGCTGAGAGAACTCGGCTGCAGTGAAGGGTTGTAACTCATTATTGATGTTGGATAAGCAGTCATGCTGCCGTTAGAACGGCGGAAGGAGACAATGGCCTGTGTTCCAACCATGCCAGAACCTGTCGGATTTATACCCCACGCAATCCATCCTTCGGATGTTTGAGCGGCTCTGTAAGCAATGTGGATGGTATTGGTGGATGGAATGTAGTTCCAGTGGAGATGGGCTTGTAGCACTGGGAGATCTCTGCATGAGCTGAACATTTGGTCACTTGAAAAGATATATTTCGAACATGTTTGAGCGTAGGAAGTAAGAGCTTGAGACGCAAGAAAGCAAACTATCAAGAATTGCCGTGAAACTATATCCATGGAATTTTGGATATCAAACAACTTTCCCAAGAGCATAATGATCTGTTGAGTGAGGGACTTTGTTTTACTGTTTCTTTTGTGAATTTGGTGTGGAGTTTTTATGAGAGGGAATTAGAGAAAACTTGGTCTTTTTGCATGGCAGTTTTTCACTGGTACCTTTTATTCTCTCCAACTAGTGTAACTTGTTCATTTCCAACCTACTCATTCCGGAGGAAAGTCTCGTACAAGACATTGTTTGGTATACCGACGATGAATTCACACAAAACTTGCTTGACTTGAAAATTAAAAAAATAAAAAATGGAAAAAGTTTCATGTTATTTCACAGTGAAAAAAAAAAAAAAAAAAATGAATCCCATTAGTCATTACCAAATGGAATAAATTCCATTTTGTAATTGCCTGCAGCAAGCGTCACTCAATCATACAACCTTGTCCAGAGGGGATCAACTGTATCCTTGGTATTCTTAATCGTATCAAAGTCGGCAAAAGTATTCATATGGCTAGTTAGCAACTCGCTTTCTCTCTCTCTCTCTCTGTTTTTTTTTTTTTTTTTTTTTTTTTTTTTTTTTTTTTTTTTTTTTTTTTTTTTAAATATAAAATGCTTTTTTTTTTTTTTTTTTTTTTTTTTTTTTTTTTTTGTGTTTTCATATTTCCTGAAACTAAAAGTCCGTTTTGTTCATTGATTCGAGTTTTTAATTTGAGTTTAGATGTGATTTTATGTGAGAGTTTTTTTACTGTAATAAAAAGTTAGATGTGATTGTTTCTGAGAGCCTTTTATTATAACAAAACTCAAATCGATAAAATGAACGTGACCTAAAAATGGACTATTAGTGCTATCCGGTTCCTCATCCCCTTTGTCTAGCAGGAATCCAGGTACCCACTAATATTGACTTGATCAATTCCACTTTAAAGGATGGGTTCAATTTTACTCAAACCACCATAAGTATAGTGTTGTGTAATCTATTCACTGAGAAGGGACCTTAAAGTGTCACGGCTTTAGAATATCAAACCTTGAACCCATCAGAAAAAAAGAAAAAGAAAAGACATAATGTTATACTATCGTATTGATGATAGCAACTGGCGCCTTGATTTCAATGCGTTTGTATCACCTAACAAGGGAATAATGTGCTAAAGTGAAATAGATAAAAAAAAAATGATACTTTTAAAAGGAAAGATGTTTCTATGAAATTCCAATCTTCTGAAATCATTTTAAGCTTCATGTACATGTTTCTCCCTTCTACAGAGAACTGTAAGTTTGATTCGGCTTGAGATCCGTTATTGTTGATCCTGGCCTAACCTGAACAGGGTCGAACTGAGGTTTCAAGCCCGAATACTTATTCAGGTCGGGCTGACCCAATCTAAACATATTCTTTTTAATTTTAATTTTTAAATACTTCATAAAATTTTGAGCTGGGTCAGGCTCAGCCGACCTTCTCCCTTCTAAGGCCGGCCCGGCTTGAAATTTTCAATGGGGCTGTCAAGTTGGGTCGAACGACCTGAACTTTCACCTCTTCTCCCACACGTATTAAGCATTGGATGAGAGTTTGTGAAAAATTAACCAGGATAGCCATTAGTTAGGTTCGCTTTTTGTTAGTAATCTGACATATGAACACAGAATTTAAAGACAAAAAGAAGAAAAAAATCCTTCTAACACTGTCATGATAAAAAAAAAATTGTATATCTGTGATGATATTATCAAGTGACACATGATAAAACATAAAAAGGTGTTTTTATTTTTTAATAAAACCAATCTTGTGTCCTGTCCCACATTAAGAATAAGAAAAAGATAAAGATAAAGATAAAGATAAAAAAAAAAAAAAGAACACGCACAGACATGTGCAGTATTTTAACCATTTCATTCACAAGTAAAAATGTCTTTCTAATATTCAAATCTACTGAAATAAGTGTTACAACACCTTGCTTGCAATTAGCGAGAAGGGTTGTTAATACACAGAAATACATTTTATTAAGCATTTGCATTGGGTAATTAAAGAATAATCTAAATTCTAAAGCAATTGCAGGGTACATAGGGAATACGATTAATTAGGTAATCCGAAATAGAGAATATGTAATCAGCATGTAATCTCGCAATTGTCTATTGCTTTGCGTAAACAATCATTTGGTCCAAGAGTACCTATCTCTCTAATGACCTCAGCTTTGTCTGCCTCAAACTGCTCATTTGCTGCAACCACCAAAAAAAAAAAAAAAAAAGTGTCATTTTGATGAGTAAAATTTATTTTGAGAACATAATTAAAGATGAGAAATTAGTAAAGTTATTTTACCTTTATCAAAATTGAAGTCTTCGAAGAAACGAAGAAGCTTACTCTTGTTGGTGACAAGCACATTAATTATCTCAGCAGGCTTATTTTGGTTCCCGACAAATAGCTATTAGATGTTTAATAATTAGTGATTCAATTATATTTTGAGAGAGTTGAAATTAAAGGATTGTATATATTAATCTCTATACAACACCTTGAAGACATGAAAAGCTTCTAATTGAATTGTCTTGTTTGAATCCTGCAAAGATTCAGTTATAAAATAATCAATGAAAATAACTAAGCATAATTATATATTTGATCAATGATGATATAATTAAAGTGCCGTTCATTTTACCGATTAGAGTTTAGAATTTGAATTTTATTACAGTAAAAAGCTCTCAGAAACAATCACATTTAATTTTTTTGTTACAGTAAAAAGCTCTCACATAAAGTCACATTTTAATTCGAATTAAAAACTCAAATCAACGAACTAAATAGAAAATGTACCTTGAGAAGGTTCATCAAGACTTTCATGTTATCCAAAGAGCTCACGTACCGAAGCATCACATCAGAATTTGAGCGATCTAGTAATATGTCTCCTAACAGCTGAAACAAATAGATAATAATGATATAATAAAAACAACAATAATAATATCTTGAAAGTAAATATGGTACCTTGGTAGATTGCCGTTTGGTAATGTAGCATGGAGAACTAAGCAATTTGGAATTGTACTCCTTGAAAAACTACAGCAAATTTCGAAACAGTTTGAGAAATTTGGGTTAACTTTTTTTTTTTTTGGGTTAAAGGTAGTAAATAATTGTTTAATCATAAGTTACAGGATATATTCCCATAAAAAAAAATCATATTTACAAAATATATACATGACATGCAATAGACTACTCTGGATGAGATATTTCATACAGAGCAATAGATAAATTATTCAACACGAGTTCTTACGATTAATGAGTGCGTTTAGAATTGGTTTTAAAATGATTTTGCTTTCAATAAAAAGTAAAAATGAGAGTGTTTTGAGAATCATTTTGAGACCGATTCTGAAATTACATTTGGTTAATTTTTTAAGAGATTATTTTGAGTATAATAAAAAAGTGAAATCGTGTTTATTAATTAATATATTATAATATTATTGATAAATACTAAAAAATGAAAACAGAAAAGTGAAAACAAGTTACAACTGTTTTTTAATTCTTTCACAAAAACATTCTCACTATTTTTGTTTTTAAAACATTTACTAAATAAACGTCGTTGCGTTTTCGTTTCTATTTTCATTCTTTACTTCTTAAAATACATAAAAACCGTTTTTAAAAACGGTATTCTGAACTTACCCAGTGGTAGTTTTTAGAAAGAAATTCTGCCACAGTAGACTTATGCCTGGTCAAAAGCTCCTGAATGCCCAAAACAGACTGCTACAACTCAGCTAGAATTTCGGACATAAGAGATAATTCTTTCTTATGGTTGATAGGATTATATTGCAAAAGATAGGAATACATAAACATGGTAGATCAATATTTGGAAAAAAAAAAAAAAATTAAAGATGAGCTCAAGTATATATATATACACCCTAAAAGTTGTCGCAGCATCAGATGCTATTTCGAAATTTGGATCTTGTATGTAGTCAAAAAATTTGTTCATGTGTTTCGACTCCAAAACATACCTGTTAATGAATCCAGTGGGAGATAAATTAAATAACATAATTATAAACCTCTTCAAAGAGAAAACAAAAGATAAATGAAAATGCAGTATTCAATTTATAAGCAATTAGATTATCGCACGTTTTATGAGTATGCTCTAGGCTAGCTTGAAGAAATGAAAAATCTCCTTTCTATTTTTTTTTTTTTTTTGTTGATAAAGCATATTATATAATATATAACTGGTAATGCATGCATGTTTTTTCCAATGACAAAATCTAATCAAAATTATTATAAAACAAAAAATGCGAAAATAATTTGTTAAAGTTGAAGAGGATAGTTTTTGAATACCTTACCACATGGTCCTTATAATATATAAACCATAATGTAACTTGTAGGCTGTAGCCATGCCAATTAATACGTACTTACTTTGCAACAGTCTGATGACGGATACACTCTCTTGCAATTGCACCATAACTTAAAGCAATATCACTGTCTTCATAACTAATCACAAAAAGATTAAACATTTCATTAATTAACACTCATTATAAGATGGGAGTTTCCCCCGTAGGATTAGAAAAATAAAATTACCGGTAGTTTAATTTTTTTAGCCGTCAGATCTGCATCAAAAAATGTCTGTTCTAAATATTTTTTTAATCTCATTTAATTTTGATCAGATTTAACAGTCAGAAAACTGATCGTAACGGCCTACCGGAGACAATCCCTATAAGACATGTTATTGGTATCATTTTTAAAGTAACGTACCCGAGTATGAGGATATCCATAACATCTAAATTCTTTTCCAAGTACTCGGAAGCAATCAACCTTGAATTCACCCATTGCCTCTGTAAATTAGTGACCACATGGGTGGCGTCTTGACGGATCTGGATGATTATGTTTTATCACTTATAAAATAAATTAAGTCGAATTAAACACGAGTTAATTAATAATATTAGGCGGAGTATTTGTGGCTTGATTGGCTTTTAACAATAATCAAGAATATATATTAACACAATTATTCTTTTCTAAGTACTGTTGATCAATGAGCCAGTGCTATATATATATATATATATATATATATGATGGATATACGCTTACCCCGGAGTCCAACTTTGGAAAACAAGTAATAAGAAGGCGGAGTATATCATCTTTGAAAAACTCTCGAGTCACTTGTGCGCAAGCGTCTTTATTCGGCTCTTTTTCACCAATATTTCCATAAAGAACGGTTCTTATTTCGAATATTCTTTTGCCCAATTTGTGCATCTAAAAAAAAAAAAATGATCACATTAGAATTATGAAAGATCAACTATCAATTGAAAATCTTAGCCAAAAAAAAAAAAAAAACTACCAATTGAAAAATGAGAAAATGCCATATGTTATGGTGGTGATTTAGCTAAATCTGCAGGGTTTGTTTGGTATGGAGATTTAAACCAGGGTGATTCTAATAATGATTTTAGAATCAGAACCATGATTCATGATTTTGGGTTCAAATCATGATTCTAAAACCATAATTCAGAATCATGGTTTGAATCACCTTGAATCAAGATGAAGGTGGTTTTAGAATCATGATTTGAACTAGTTTAAAATATCACACCAGATTCTGAATCATGATTTAGAATCATCAAAACTAAATACTGATTTTAAATCATGATTCAGAATTATAATTAAAAATCACTGTAAATAAACAATGTTTTCGAATCATGATCTAAAATCATGATTCTTGATTCATCTATCAAACGATGTGCGAGTATTAGAATTCACAAATAAATTTGGAATTGTTCAGATAAAGAGTGATGCGTATAGGTGATTGCTCGTAAGAACATCAAACTTTTATACAAATATGCATCAATCTTTATAGAAACATGCATGATAAATAAAGAAATACTGCAAAGTTAGCGGTATGAATTATCATATTATACACACACACACACACACACATATATATATATATATATATATATACCTTCTCCTGACGTTTAAGCTGGGGACTCTCTGATGCATTCCCATTAAAAAAAATAAGATGATCGCGCGCTTGGCATACCAGCTCCACGGGGCTTTTTGGCTTGGACTTGAAAAGGCCTTTCATTTTTTTTTTTTTTTGGCTAGATAATTACGTTGTTTTGTTTCATGATTAGGCTTTTGATGAGGAAGAATAGGTATGAAGGTCAAAAAAGATTGCGGTGCTAAGGCCATTGATGCAACTGCCTAAGGCCTTAAGCCAAGTCACCCTTAAAAGTAGGAAAACATTTAACTAATTCTCTATAAACGCCTCAAAATGTTGAAGTCAATATTAGAAGTTAGATTAAAAAAAAAAAAAACAAGAAGAAGAAGAAAATCCTTTTATTTAGGGCTAAAATATTTGTTTTTCATAAATTAGGGGCTAGTGTTTCATAAATGTATTTGCGACGATAGTCTGTATTAGCGACGACACGTCGTTACAAAATTCTCGTGATATGATCATTTTTATGATGACATTTCAAATTGTCGTCGCAAATAATCTTATTTTTTTGCGACGACAAGTCTAAAAAAGTCGTCGTAAAAAACTGAAATTAATTTTTTTTATAATTTTTAAAAAATGGTAATTAATTAATTTTTAATATTTTTAATTAAACATTAATATGTTACATACTGAATAGAATTTATTAAGATACATTAAAAGTGAAATATAAATTAATATTAAAAACAGTAAATCTAAATAAATTTATAAAATATATTATGAATAATACATGAAGTGCATATATAATGTTCAAAAAAATATAAAAGTCTAAATAAAGTGAAAAATAAAAAAGTACATATAACGGAACTAATCGTCTAAGTTTGCAGCATCGCCAGCATCTGAATCATCATCAGGACCGTCATCATCTGAAGGAGTCAGAGGAGAGTCTAGGTCAACTGGTTCTGGACGATCAATCGTAGGTAATTGGATGTTGGGCTGCAATTTAGCCATCAACTCTAACACCTTCTAACTAAATTCCGGCAACATAACGGCTTATTTTTCTTATGATCCAAAAATCTAAACCTGCAGAAAAATAACTTTAAAAGATTTCGGCACACCATAGCTGCAAGATGTGCCACTCAGAATAAGAATCACAAACATATACTAAATTTCAACAATATAAGAAAATCATAGTTCAAATATCAAAATCATACAACCAAAAACTACAATAATTTTAAACTAAAAGTACAATAAATATAAAAAACTTACAAAGTTCAAACCCACTAAACGGGGGCTGAAAATAGCGGGATTACGTCGGAGGAACCGGGCAAACAGCGACGAAGGTAAAAAATCAAACGCCTACATTAAATTGAAACATCAAACATAATTTAACGTGACCGAAATTAACATTTTAAATAATGTAAATTAACATTCTAGAGTAATATATTTAAATACACAAAAGAATTTCATTCCTCGGCATTAAATCTAATTATGTTAACAAATAATGTAGATTAATAAATTAATCACTAGTTCAAAAATAATTCTAAATTAACGTCATAAACTAACATTTACACAGCCTCATAGTAAATGTTTAGAAACTTCATTTAGACATTTTTACAAACACTTTACAAACAACTCAACAAAACACATAAAAACAATAAAAAAGTTACAGGAGTGTGTAAAACATACTGGTAAACGTCGAACAGTGAGGCGGCGACAGGTGATTCGGCGCGGTGGTGGCGGAATCCGGCCGGCGGCAAGCAAGGGAAGAGAGAGAGAGAGAGAAGGGAAGAGAGGGAGAGAAGGGAAGAGAGGGAGAGAAGGGAAGAGAGGGAGAGAAGAGGAGAGAGGAGTGGCGGGGTCGGGGCGGCGGGAGTGGTGGCGGCGGCCGGAGAGGGGAAGAAGAGAGAAGAGAAGAGAGAGAGAGAGAGAGAAGGGAAGAGAGGGAGATAAGGGAAGAGAGAGAGAGAAGAGGAGATAGGAGTGGTGGGGGCGGGGCGGTGGGAGCGGCGGCGGCGTCCGGAGAGGGGAAGAAGAGAGAAGGGAAGAGAGAGAGAGAGAGAGAGAGAGAGAGGGCCGGTGGCGACGGGCAGTGGCGGCGGCGAGGGGAAGAAGAGGCAGAGAGAGAGACTTAGCAGGAGAGAGAGAGAAAGTGTCGGGGAAAAATGAAGAGGAAGACAATAGGGTATATTTATTTGCGACGACATTGTTGTCGTAAATAAGTTGAAATGTCGTCGCAAATAATCATTTTCCCCGCGTTTAGTTTTTTGGTGAAATCTTAAAAAGATTATTTGCGACGACAAAGAGAAAATGTCGTCGCAAATAACATGACATTATTTGCGACAACAAATGTCGTCGCAAATAAATGTAAAATGTCGTCGCAAATAATCATTTTTCCAGCGTTTTGTTTTTGGTGAAATCTTGAAAAGATTATTTGCGACGACAAAGAGAAAATGTCGTCGCAAATAACATAAAATTATTTGCGACGATAAATGTCGTCGCAAATAATCATTTTTCCCGCGTTTGGTTTTTGGTGAAATCTTGAAATTATTTGCGGTGAAATATGTTATTATTTGCGACGACTTGTCGTCGTAAAAAATGGATTACCTTTACGGTAAAAATCCGCGCGCATTGAAATTTGTGCTCCAAAATTATTTGCGATGACATTTAAGTTATTAGCGACGACATGCTTATTTTATTTAATAGGGAGTAATTGCGACGACATGTCGTCGCAAATATTGTATTATTTGCGACGAAAAATATCGTCGCAAAAAATATCGTCCCAAATGGCCTTTTTTGTTGTAGTGTATTTCTCCTTACTATATATATTATCTTATTATATTCATTGTTGTAATTCTTAACAAGAACTCTTATATTGTGTTAGGATTCGTTTTACTTATAATTTAGTTATTTCTTATAAGACGTGAACATTATATGAGAAACTTAAAAGAAAAGATTGGTAAAACTTAAAAAATCAACAGAAAATAAACTAAATACAAGAAATAAGCAATTGAGCTCCTCTATTTAAAGGGCTATGATAAAAAATATTAGTGTAGTGATACTAGTTGAATACCACAGCACATGGAGAAAAACTTGAGTTTCTTTTTTTTTTTTTCCCTAGAAAACAATATTTAAATATTTAAAAGGTCTACTTAAAATTTTTCCTAACACTTCTTCAAAAATAGAGTTAATGTTGTTTTGAGGATTTTTTTTTTTCCACTTAAAAATTGGTTAGGATTAACAAAAATCTTTGACCATGTGGTTTTATTGCAGGCACATGCTTCATATGAGCGATAAAGATGTCAGGAGTTCACATAATATGACTCTGAAAACTGCAACAGGATTGTGAGATATAAGATTATGAGTTATTCAATTACGCTTATAGTGTTGCACTGATACAATTTTTGAATCATAGGGCATCTGTTGGTTGTATCGAGTTTGGAGGTGAAAGTCACGGAGCACGCAAATATGAAATTTGTAATGTATTATACGGAAATTTAAATCATATTCAGTAGAAATGTTTTCTACGTCCTCCATTGTAAACGTTAATGCTAATCGTATATCTGGCATTAAAAAATGTGAAATGGTAGATTTTTTCATTTCTGTCCAAAAATTGTAAAAGTGAACTTTTAATTTTAAAATTATTTATAAATAAACAATAATATACATTGGGATGCGAAAATAACAATAATTAAATGAAAAAAATAAACATATAAACTAATAACAATTAAACGCTAAATTTGATACGGAAATTTAAATCATATTCAGTAAAAATGTTTTCTACGTCTTCCGTTGCAAATGTTAATGCTAATCGTATATCTGGCATTAAAAAGTGTGAAATGGTAGATTTTTTCATTTCTGTCCAAAAATTGTAAAAGTGAACTTTTAATTTTAAAATTATTTAAAAATAAATAATAATATACATTGGGATGCAAAAATAACAATAATTAAATGAAAAAAATAAACATATAAACTAATAACAATTAAACGCTAAATTTGCATTGGGATGCCAAAGTTTGCTCTAGTCGTATAGGAGAAAGTTAACCGATGGAGTTTCAAAAATTTTTTTTTTTCATTTTATTTTCTTCATCTACTTATTTATTTATTTTCAGTATTTTTGGTCAACGATTAGGATGGACAAGGTTTAGTTAGTGAATTCTGTAATTCAGATCATAATTCATAACTCATTATAATATTTTTTCTCATAAAAAATATACATAAATTAAAAATAATTTTAAATTATAATTATAAATTTGAAAATAGTAAATATGCCAATATGAAAGGTTTAAGAAAGTATATATGCCAACTTTTAGTTATAGAAATTAATAAGTCATAACTTGTCAAGTTATAGTTCATAACCAGATAAGTTATGGATAAACTTATCAAGTTATAGTTTATAGCCAGACAAGTTATGAATAAAAACTGTGAATTATAGACAATAATTTGTCAAATAATAGTTCATAATCAGATAAATTATAGACGTAAACAGTAATTTAACATATTTATTAACTTATGTAAACTATTAATCTATTAATTTTAATTCATCTCAAATTTTAACTTATTTCCCTATTTCTCCCTTCTAAATTCATCAACTAAACGTCTGTAACTTGAAAGAAAACTGCCCAAAATCCCAAGTAGCCCAATTGGAAAACCTCCACCACACACAACAACACACGGCAGCCAATAAACTCACTCAGAGAGGCAGCCTTCTCCCTCCACACGACTGATACGAGAATGTTCATCCTTCACAGAATGGCCACTTCTCAATCTCTCTTTGCCCCTTCTTCCTCTTTCCTTAAACCTTCTTCCCCCTCCAGTTTCAACCGCTTGGGTCTTCCTCTGACACGCCAGTTCAGGGCCTTCGCTCTTCACGGCCATAGAAATGGGTTCTCCACCGCCTATTCCGCCGTCGCCACCGAGTCTTCTGCCGAGACTTCGGTCGAAAACTTGGAACTGGAAACCAACGGCGATGAGAATTCTCAGAAAGAAGAGAGAGTGGTACTTCCGACCAACGACTCCTCCGAAAAGCTCCTCAGGATTCGTCACACGGTAATCTGATTCACTCCCAGATGAGATTTTGTTGTCAAAAGTCTTATTTTATTAAACTCTTATTTTTCATTTTTTATTTATTTATTTTGGGTGGTAGTGTGCACATGTGATGGCCATGGCAGTTCAGAAGCTTTTCCCGGATGCGAAAGTGACGATTGGGCCGTGGATAGAAAATGGGTTTTACTATGACTTTGATATGGAGCCGTTGACGGACAGAGACTTGAAGAAGATTAAGAAGGAAATGGTAAGCTAAGCTGAGTTTTTCTGTTTCAAATGTTCTATTTCCTTTCAAAATAGTTAGTTTTTAATGTCGGAAATTCGTTCATTTGCTTATGTTTTGAATTATTTCTTCACATTTATCTTTTAGGATCGTATTGTTGGTAAAAATTTACCGCTTATAAGAGAAGAAGTTTCAAGGGATGAAGCGCAGAGGCGAATAATGTCTCTCAATGAACCATACAAATTGGAAATTCTGGAAAGTATTAAGGAAGAACCCATTACCATCTATCACATTGGTAAGGAGTTGCTATTTGATTTTCCTCCTTATCATACTTTGTAAATGAGTAAACTGTATGTTTCCAATTCAGGCCGGAAACTCCTCTTAGATGGGTTCAGGGTTTGATGCTCTAGAACCCCACTTTAAGGTCCTTCCTTACCCGATCAAATGACTGTTCGGCATTTGGGCTTATGGTGGTGAGAGTGAAATTGAACTCGTCTATTGGTGGTCCTGGATTTCTCCCACAGAGTATAGGCATAGGGGATTGAGGACGGGATGCACCAATGATCCTGTTTTTGTTTAGCATAAAATTCTGGTGGGAAAAGTATGTTGGTAGTTAGCCATTGAATTGAGGAATGAGGAAAGAGTTTCATAGACCTTATTCCTTGGTTCTCCATATTTTCTTTGTTGGTTTTGTAAACAATATTAGTTGGCTATTGATTGTGCTAGCTTGTTTGAGGTTTCAGCAAATCTAATGTCTTATTCTTATTAGGCAATGAATGGTGGGACCTTTGCGCTGGGCCTCACGTCGAATCAACTGGGAAAATCAACAGAAGAGCTGTTGAACTTGAGTCGGTTGCCGGTGCTTATTGGAGAGGAGATGAAAAGAAACCAATGCTGCAGAGGATATATGGCACTGCTTGGGAAAATGAACAACAATTAAAGGCTTACCTTCACTTCAAAGAGGAGGCTAAACGCCGCGATCATAGACGCCTTGGTCAAGATCTCGACCTCTTCTCTATACAGGTATTCAGTCTTAATTTGGTTAAGCTTATTCTCTGTTTGTCCAGATTGATTGGATTGCATTTTTAACATTCTATCAAACTAGAATCGTTGTTGAATGTTTTAGCTTATAGGCTGAACTTTGCAGAACGATGCTGGCGGAGGCTTAGTATTTTGGCATCCCAAGGGTGCTGTTGTAAGGAACGTAATAGAAGATTTGTGGAGGAAAATACACATAGAACGCGGTTACGATCTTCTGTATACCCCACATGTAGCAAAGGCAGATCTTTGGCAGATTAGTGGCCATTTAGATTTCTACAGAGAGAATATGTACGATCAGATGAACATTGAAGATGAACTTTATCAACTTCGACCTATGAACTGCCCTTACCATATCTTGATTTACAAAAGAAAGCTTCACTCGTATCAGGATTTTCCCATTCGAGTTGCAGAGTTGGGAACAGTATATAGATACGAATTATCTGGAAGCTTGCATGGCCTTTTTCGCGTAAGAGGATTCACTCAGGTATAAATGTTATTTAAAATGTTGTATTTGTTACTTTCTCTGTTTTTATTTATAAAAGTGAGCAAAATAATTGATGTGAGAGCTACTTTTATTAAGTGGTAATCACCTAAAAAATTTGCATACTTCAGCATTAGGCGATGCAAGGGAATTGCTTATTGATCTATGTTTAGCAAAAATCACAATTGAATGGCTTCTTTGTTTAATCTCAGATTGTTTTTGCAGGATGATGCCCATATATTTTGTTTAAGTGATCAAATCAAAGATGAAATCAGGGGAGTTCTAGATCTTACGGAGGAAATGCTATTGCAATTTGGCTTTAGTAAGTATGAGGTGAATCTTTCTACAAGGCCAGAGAAATCTGTTGGTGATGATGATATATGGGAAAAAGCAACTTCTGCCTTAAAAGATGCTTTAGATGATAAGGGCTGGAGCTACCAAATTGATGAAGGTGGTGGTGCCTTTTATGGCCCAAAGATTGATCTTAAGATTGAGGATGCTCTGGGAAGGAAGTGGCAGTGTTCAACAATACAGGCAATTCCTCGACTCATTTTTTCGCGTTTTTACGGAAAGCGAGTAGATCAATAATTGTTCAAGAGACTAAAATTTATTTTTCCCCTCAATTATCCAGGTTGATTTTAACCTACCGCAACGTTTTGATATCACATATGTTGACTCAACCTCAGAAAAAAAGCGGCCAATCATGATCCACAGAGCAGTGCTTGGATCTCTGGAACGATTTTTTGGAGTCCTTATAGAACATTATGCTGGGGACTTCCCACTGTGGCTTTCCCCAATCCAAGCTCGAGTTCTGCCAGTTACTGATACCCAGGTATTGAAGGGCAGTTAGCCATTAATGTTTTAGTATTTCCTGAACCTATTGAGCTGGCAGAGTTGTGTTCGCTGTACCACTTTTGCAACTCACAAAGCGCTTTCTTTTCTTAGGTTTGAATAGAAAATTGGAACAAAAATTCAAATTTTGTGAGAGAAAATACAGTATAAATGTTTGAATTGTGGTCAAACGTATGAAAAGAACAGGTCCTTAATGAATACAAAAACTCAAATCTCGAGTCATCCTAAAACAATTTGTATTGAACTTTACTGGTAAATTTACTTATGTGGCTAGTTTACAACATGTCAATGGGTTTTATCAGTTTATTCGACCCGCACGTTGGTTTTCAAATAGGGTTCTTAGATTTTTATGCTGCACTTGAGGCTTAACTTTTTCATGTTGCATGTGCCATGTTTTGACACAGCTTGAATACTGCAATGAAGTAGCAAAGAAGCTGAAAGCAAATGGCATTCGAGCTGAAGTTTGCCATGGTGAGCGCCTACCAAAACTCATTAGAAATGCAGAAACGCAGAAGATCCCCTTAATGGCGGTTGTGGGCGCCAAGGAACTGGAAACAGGTACCGTTACCGTACGATCCAGGTTTGGTGGAGATGTTGGGACGATGACGGTTGATGATTTTGTTGGTAGAACAAAGTCTGCCATTGAAAACAGAACATCCTTTTGAACTGACGCGTATGCCCTGGAAAATAACATATCTTAAATGTACCAACATTCAAAGAGCAATTTTGTTACATGGTATTAACCTTGAGCCCGAAAGTTGCATTTGTTTGTATGCAGTGTTTAGTCATCGTTGATAAGGAACTTATCATAGGAATGATACACTTGTGTATACAGTTGACAAAAAGGATTATCATTTATGTCTCGTTTATTTCACCGATTTAAGTTTTAATTCCAAATTTATTATAATTAAAAGTCTCATAAAAAGTAACATTTAACTTTTCCTGCTACAGTTAAAAACTCTTACATAAAATCATATATTAACTTGAATTGAAAACTTGAATCGGCGAACTGAACGAGGTATTAGTTTTTTTTATATAAAAAATGAAATATAAGTTTATTAAGTTGTCCTCTTCTGTCATTTCACGAGTTTTTTTTTTTTTTTGTTTTTTGACAATGCATTTGAATTTAAAGGAGTGTTTTAAGAGGTGAGGCATTGTGCAAGTAGAACCAGCTTTTATTTTAGGCTTTTTAGCACATTTACTCTCTAAATTTGTCATGGTTTAACAAATTGTCTCTTTAACTTGTAAAGTTATTGCAATATGCTCCATTTTGACGATAATTGTATTAAACTAACATCGAAAAAGCACGTTTAACGAAAAGTTTGACATGCTAATTCAAATGTAACATAAATGTTTCAATTTTTCAACTTTTAATTCCTTAAATCTAATAAAAAATTTGAACAAATTTAGTAAAATGGTGCACATTGTAACAAATTTATAAGTTCAGGGGGTTGGTTGTCAAAATTACAAATTTAAAAGGATTTGCTAAACCTTGATAAATTTGGGGGAAGGTTGTGTTAAAAACCCTTTATTTTATGAAGAATGCTAAAATATGCAAGGTTTTTTTTTTATTTTTTTTAATGCATTTTCTTGAAACATGCATGCCTTTTTTCTTTTCAATATTTTTGTGGGGACTGGAATATGTAAAGTTGTAATCAGATTGGAGCCGAGACAAGATGGAATCCTTACCAATAATATAGAGAGTTAAGGGGGCCATTTTTGCAAAATTATGAGTGCAAGAGGTGAAGGGAATTGGAATAAAGCTAACGGACATCCCTGGTAGCTGGTACTCCTGACGACATGATGTGGCATCCTATGTGGCTACTATTGGTGGCTTTTGGCTTGGTTGTGGGACTCATAAATAGTAAAATTTCTCTCTTTGAGTGCCACATCATGTGGTAACTAAAAGGAGAATTAGGTCCCATAAGTGGTAGCTCCTCCTTCCACTTTTCCTCGACCTTTGGGTTTCGTCTCTTTCTTTAAGCATTGTATCTCTTTCATTTGGGAAGACCAGAGTCCGGCACCACCTTTGGGTGGGTCACCGGATTCCCAACCCTAGTAAGTGGGTTTTGGGTGTGCGGAGGATCGGATGAAAATGGGTTTTGAGGGCAAATTTGTGTGCGTTTTGGTGTTGGGTCTTTGTGCATTTGGAGGGGGTGTAGGTCGCACTTTCAGCCGCTATTTGGGGGATTGTCGGAACCTAGTTGGGCCAGCATCTTAGAGGCTCTGGTCCTCTTAGCATAGTGGTGCTTCAGGTGAGGTGCGTGGTTCGGTGGGTCTCGGTGTTGCTTGCTACCCTCTTGCTGGTGGTTTGGAAGTTCGTCTAGAGCTTTTCCCTTTTCCGGCAGTGCGGTTGTATCTTCTCCTCTTGAATTCATAAGCTGTCTTACCATTGGAATCCTCTCTGTGCAGTTCAAGATATTTTTAGTTAGTTTTTGTTTTGTTCAAATAAGGGTGATGTTGCTTTCTTCATTTCTATGTATTTGTGTGTTTTTAGAGTGTTTGTCATCTTATTATGAAATAATGAAGGTTGTCTGCCCAGTCTTTGGTTTGGGTTGTGTGTCTAGTCTACTAGATTTATTTCTATGCGGTGTTGTTGGTGGCCTTAGTGCTTTAGGTTTCTTGATCTCGGTCGATCGAGTTTTTCCATCGACTGTAGTGGTCTCGTTGAAAAAGCCTTATTTGTACTCGATATTTAGTATGCCTATTGAGTTTTCCGGTGTCGAGGACTCAGTGCATGTTTATGCCCCTTGAGCGTTTTATTTAAATTTATTAGTGAATCCGGTTGATGTTTGGAGTCAAGACTCCTTCTGTTTTAGGGTTTTTTTAATTTATATCAATGGATGTATTTGGGTCGCTTATCCCTGTATTAACGGTTGTATTTCTTTGTTTTGAAATGTGCTTTTCCTTTAAAAAAAGGGAGAATTAGGCAACTATTGTACTCTTGACCTATACTCAGGAAAATGTGGCGGAGTTAAAAAGAGGGATGGCATTCTTGAAAATATATTTGACAAACGGGGCTTGTTATTGAGTCGGTTTGTTTGAGAAAATTAAGATGACAAAAGACGTCCAAAAAATAAACTGGAAAAGAGTGTAAACTAGAGTCTATATTTAGCCTATCTCTTATTCTATGGTTTACATTCCTAGTTTTAAGGTGCTGCGTACTTTGCTAATTGAATTTATATTCGCTTATTAGTTCCATAAATAGTCTTATAAATTGTTAATTATTTTCGATAGGAATAACTATTTCTCTAAAGAATATATATGGAGAGAGAGACATATGAAGGTCTTTGTTGAGGAAGAGACGGCTAAATTTAGACTCCAAAATACATTCGTTCAGAGATCATCCAAGTTAAATTGGGTAATGATCGGTTGAGAATTGATGGTTTTGAGCTTACAAATTGAGCTATAAAATAATGGAAACCAAGAAGGGCTATTATCGTTCTTCCAATCAAAACTTTTGGTTTTCCAGCAACAAAAAATCTAAAGTTTCGCTGGAGAATTTGGAAGAACGAGAAACATTTGCAAGATGGGTCTCAAAATGAACAGGAAAGTGCTATCTTTGTTCGTACTTTTGGCGATCACCGCCACAGCTCAATGTGGCAATGTCTATGACATCACAAAATATGGAGCAAAATCTAATAACGATGCCAATCAGGTAAGATAAAGAATTAGCGTAATTGCTAATCAATGCAAATATTAAGCATTATTATACATTCCCATTCGGGTTGGAGTCGAGATTGCGCAGATGGTATGAACAAATTTAGTATTTTTCGCGACGTAAATAATTCTATGCCTTGAAATGTGTATCTTGAACAAAACTAATAATGTTAACATATAACATTAACTATGTTCTGTTTTGCAGGCTCTTGGCCAGGCCTGGAAAGCAGCGTGTGCATCAAAAGTTCCATCAAAAGTGGTAGTGCCAAAAGGAACGTTCAGGTTAAGCCGGGCAGCCTTTTTTGGACCTTGCAAGGCTCCCATTGAATTCATGATCGTCGGCACGTTGCAGGCTCCGCAGAACCCAGGCGGTTTTAAGGATGGCGACGGATGGGTTACTTTCCAGGATATCGACAGGCTAACCCTAGACGGTGGCGGAACCTTCGACGGCAATGGCCAAAATGTGTGGGGAAAGCATTGCACTAGGCTTAACTATTGCAGCAAGCTTCCGATTGTAAGCACATAATTCCCATTTCAAAATGAAAATACATCTGAATCTGTTTGACATATCTTATGTTTGGAGAGAACCCTTTTCAAATTAGTAATCTGATTTTTGTTTTTCTTTTGTCCCGGACAATATTATAAACAGAACCTTAGATTCAACTTCATAAAGAATTCGGTTATCAAGAGCGTGACATCCCTGAACAGCAAACAGTTCCACATAATGGTTTTGGGAGGAGTGAACCTGTCATTCAGAAACCTCAAAATCATAGCCCCAGAAGACAGCTACAACACCGACGGTATTCACATAGGGCGATCGACCAACATCAGCATCACCGATTCGTACATTCAGACCGGCGACGACTGCATCTCCGTTGGCGACGGAACCAAGAACCTGACTGTCAAGGGAGTCACCTGCGGACCTGGCCACGGCATTAGCATCGGAAGTCTCGGAAAATACCGCAATGAAGCTCCCGTCCAAGGCATCACCGTTAGAGACTGCACCTTCAAGAACACCCAGAATGGTGTTAGGATCAAGACATGGCCTAATGCTAACGAGGGCAGTGCCTCCGACCTCCGCTTCGAGAACCTTTACATGCAAAACGTCGGAAGCCCGGTTTTGATTGACCAAGAGTACTGCCCATGGAACCAATGCAATACACAGGTACGTTTCAGTATTAGTGTTATTACACTACATTATTTATGAGCAGTGTGACACTTTTCTTCTTAAGCCCGGTTTTGGTTGTAATTTTAGTTTCTAAAGTTGCTAACTCTTTACTTTTAAAAAACTGAAAAGTGTCTTTAGTAATTAATTAGTATAACATTTGATTTTGAAAAAAAAAAAAAAAATCAAAATCGAGATCTTATCAAAATGATTAATCGTCCCAAAATCTTTTCCTTGGTAATGCCTGATGAATTTACACTTTTTTAATATTTAGCAACGTTAAAAACTATATAAATATGGTTATATCCATCTTTGATTCAAAGGATCACTTGTTACCTATAGAAAATATCATGTTTTCTGATTTTTGTGGTATTTGATGAGCATGCAGAATCCATCAAAAGTTAAGCTTAGCAAAATCAGCTTCAAGAACATTTGGGGCACGTCTTCAACCCCGCTCGCGGTCAATCTAATTTGCAGCAGAGGATATCCATGCCAAAATGTGGAAGTTGGAAACATTGATCTCAAATACAAAGGAAAAGATGGTCCTGCTCACTCCGTTTGCAAGAATGTCAACGTTAAGGTTACGGGCAAAATGAACCCATCTCCTTGCAAGTTTAAGGCTTAGATTAATTAGGATTTTGAAAATATTGTGACCCTCGATAATGTGTTTATTAAAAAGCAGATAACCAGATTATGATTTCCGATTATGTAACACTTTGCTTCACAGTCGTCAATTGTTGTTCCTAGATTTTGAGTGATCATGTTTTTTGACAAATTATAAACTATTGTCAGTGCCTTAATCTTGAATCATAATGCATGGTTTTGTTTATTTCAAGTTTTCCATTTCCTAAATAATAATATAATATCGCAGCTTCTAAATATATGGTATTATATATATATATATATATATATATATGTTTCTGACTGTAACAAAATCATATCAAAATGAAAAGATAAACTACACAACCTACAAAGTCATGGTGTTGGAGCAATTATCCAACGTCTTTAGACTAATAATTCGAATTGAATAAGCAAATTATCTAAAAAAATCGGAAGAACACTCGAAGAATATAAATAACCTCAGAAAAAGTAACAAGAACAAAGTGAAGACAATCACAAGGTAATTGCATTCAGAAATGAGTGCGTATCTTTTCTTTTCAAACTGAGAGAATTTATAGTACATTGAGAATTTGTGGTTTAATTCTTCCAATTAATTCAAGAGTTTATTCTCTCTTCAATATAATAAGGCTCTTCACTTTGTTGAGTGTTATAAACAATTAATAAACGAATTAAACTTGAGTCATTTAATGCCTTTAATCGTCGACCGTTACTTGACATTGACGCTTAATAACTCTTGATCTTCTAACTTCTTCCCTACCTAAACGTATGTTCGGGTAGTTATCTTAACATACGCATGGTATAATTTTGACACTTTAAAAGAGAGAATACTATTAAACAGTGACAGAAACATTACATTTTTATTTTTATTTTTAAAGAAAGTAAATTAAACCAAAACTTTTGACTAGAATAACAATGCAATTGCATCTTCTTAAATGGTGTCTTTCTTTTACGACCTATCCCTTCTTTTTAATAATGCTGTTATTACCTAAAATTACCAAATACGTACGTCTAATATATTGTTATCAAGAAAAACGGAAATTTAAATACATAAGCAGTGGGGGATCTATTCAGGGCTGGGTGGGAACAGCTGCCTAACTGAGTTTTTTTAAAATAAAATTTGACCCTTTAAAAAATTGAAGCTTTTCAATCTTGCCCGCCTTGAAATTTAAAATTTTCATATATGCCCCTACTAAATTTTATTTTATTTTATTTGTATATTTCTTCCATAAACAAGTACTTTGCTTCTTTTATTCATGAGCTTTTTTAATATGCTTTAGGATCTACATATATGTTCTTATGGTGGTTTTTTTCATCTTTATATCTAACATTTTGAGGTCGAATAAAAAGTATAGATTATATTTTGCATTGCATCATATTTATAGTTTCACATTTAAAATTCATGTTAAATAATTAGTATATCATTATGCCTCCACAGAGGTTGAAGGCTAGATCCACCACTGTACATAAGTGCGCCAAATTCACTAAACAAATATATTTGTAGAATATTTATCAAATCCCTTTAACGCAGGCCAATAAAATGCAAAATAATTTGAGATTTTCTAGATATATTACAAGATATGGTATCAAATTATCAAACACCTTTAATAGAAGTAGGGTCCATTGAAAGTACGTAATCGGGAATTTACGTAACAGGAAACAAAGTTTTATGGAACCAAATTCCTAGATTATTAAAGTGTGCTGATCTTTTAGGAAGTTAGGTTACAACAGTAATTAAATTCCTATTAATTAAATTATTTAATTTGCTAAAGAATTAACAGAATTTACCATAAAATACGTTTGTTTACAACCCTTGCATAAAGAAAGTAAATAAATTAAACTAAGGGAAAATAGGTTAATTATTCCCAATTTTTGAGGGAAAGCAATTTAATTCTGGGGATGGTAATTAGTGGGAGATTAGTCTCCCTTATCTGAAGCTTAATTCCCTTTATTGATCAGTAAACAAGCTCTGTACATTATAGTGTTTAGTGTCTGCTAATTAGAGGACGAAAGAGAACGGATATTAAGAACGTCGTTTATCTATAATGATATTGGACCCAAAAAAAAAAAAGTTGAGAAAACTAATGCATTTCTATTTTATATACAAATAGATATAGATATATAGTGTAGACACTACTATAAATAGGAGATAGTCTATGATTAAAAGATACGGCAACGGCGCTTTTGAAAAAAAAGAAATAACAAAAAATATTTTTGTCAAAAATTAGTTCTTTGCTCAAAGGATAATTTTTTTCAAATATTATTCACCAATTATAAAAGTTGGTTTATATTTCACTAAACAAGAACAAATTCTCCTACTCATATGTAATCAGTAGACACCTAATTTTTTTTTTAAAAAAAAAACCATAGACACAGTTTTTCAATAAAATTGAACAACAAAAAAATACTTAAATACAAAGAAAACTCTAAACCAAAACCAAAAACCTTAATTTTAAAGAGAAGTACTTCAATTTTTGTGGTCAAGATATGGTGGCTGATATGTCGCACGTGCGAGGTAATGACGCCGACCTTGTATGGGCATGGTGGCGGTTGCGAGACTCGTGGAGGTAGTGGGTATATTAGAAGGAGTGAAGAGTGTAGAAAAGAAGAGATTTGGGAGAAAAGCTTTTGGGTGGTGGGAGGGAGAGAGAATTAGGAGAGATGTGGGGATTTGAGAGAAAAAAGTTAATGCCGATTGGAATATGGGTTCAAAATAGTGGTTTGAACCATAGTTCAAATTTTTTAAGAGAAAATACAATAGCAGAAAATTTTTAAATTCAATTTTTTTTTATGAGAGAAAACATTATTTGAATGAAAACCCGTGGATTTAAACACATAAAACAAATAGGCAATTAATGTTTGTATGTTAGAGAGATGACATGAAAGAGAGTGCTCTTAGTTATAGAACATATGACTTTAAAAATTTTTGGAAAATGAATGAGTGAGAAAAGATCCACCTTAAAAAAAAAAAAAATTGACATAAGTGACGGTTTATTGGAAACCATCGCCTAATGTGCACGTACAAATTTCCGAAACATGGAAGTCTACATGCTGCGTTTTTTTAAACACATTAGATGATAATTTTTTTGTGAAATGTCGTTAAATAAGTGCCATCTAAGATCTCATCATATTTGTAGTAGTGAGATCGTATAGAGATTTACAAATTAAAATAATCATGAAAAAAAAGTTTAACGAATATGAGAAAATAAGATTTATAAAAAGATAAAATGTGCCTTTGGTGGAACCACTTAATAGTAAATATAAGATTTAAAATTATTTAGTGAGTCAAATATTAAAAATATTATGAGGGTCATGTTTGAAAAAGTAATATTTTAAAAGACTACATGAAAAAAATGTTTAAGTTATGATATATTAGAGAAAAATTATTTTAAAGGTCAAATCAAATAAAAAACTTTGATAAAAATTATTTAAAAACATGATTTCTTTTTTAAAAAAAGAAAAAGAAAAAAAAAAAAGAAGAAAGAAAAAGGACCAGACAATCATTTGTTCGACCTCCACATATTGAAGTAAAAACGTTTTCAACAATAAAAGTAATTTAAAAAAGAAAAAACTTTTCCGGTAAGTCTCCTTACCGGTAGTACTAGTTTCTGAGTGTTTGATCTGATTAAAATCACAATAGATTAAAAAGTGTGTAGAATAATTAGTTTTCGATACAAATGTAGCGGTTGTAAAGTAAAGAACTATCAGTAGTTTATTTTTTCTGATCACATAGTTTAATATTTGAGGGTTGTGCGAGACAATGTTTAAGTAAAGACTTGTTTGAAAAAAAAAAAAAAACTTTAAAAGGAAGATCGTAGCAAAAATATTGTAATGAGAAATATTAAAAAAAGAACATGATATTTCTTAAAAAGAAAATGCAACCAATTAGAAGTGTATTGAAGTTTAATAAGAGAAAACGGGTTTGTTGTTCCTAAAATTTTGAGACTATTATGAAATGATCCTTTTCGAATGTCTGGAAAAAATTAAATGGAAACCAAAGGTGCTTCCCAAAAACAATTAAAAAGAAGCTAAGACCTTATATTATAAAGTGATATAATGATCGCAATTTCGTGTACTTAAATTATGTTTTCGCAAAACCAAGCAAGAACAGATAATAGTCTCTTAAGAGCCACACGAACGTCACAATATTTTTTTTTGTTACCAGTACACATAACAGATATCTTGTTTTTAGAACAGAAGTACACCCAAGAGTTTACAAGATGATATGTATAAATTTAGTAACAATCAGTTTTTTTCTTTGTTTTTTGTTATAATTTTGCCCAAGGATTTAGTGATAATTGGTTAAGTAAATAACAGTACTGTTAAACTTCCTAAGTCGATTATATAAGTGGATTTAAACTACAATGTAATCCCATCTTAATTTCTGAGAAACACTTAGCCAGTTAATTAAGGACGGCAAAAGTGAGGGAAAGACGTGAGAAATTAAAGAGAAATATAGCTAGAATGGCTTTGAAATTGAATATAATCGGAGCATATTTTTTGTCTTTATTGTTAGCATTAGCTTCAGCCCGCAAACCCTTGGTCTTCGATGTGACCACATATGGTGCGCAGCTCAATATGGACATCACTCAGGTAATAGAGCACGTACTAATTAGGAAATAATATATATATTTTGAGAATTCTTGACTATCATGTGAAAAAAAGTATGAGTAAGATGCACTTTTTAACCGTTATATCAACATTAGAGTCATAATAATTAAGAAAAATGTTGGCCGTGTTTGGAATTGATCCCGTTTTTATTTTTTACATTTTTTGAGAAAGAAAAAATGAAAACGTCTTTAAAATGGCGTTTGGAGCAATAAAGATAAAAAAACGGAATGAAAATAATTTTTTGGTTTAGTGTAAAATGAGAGAGAAATTAAAAACGACTTTTAGTCGTTTTTCATTTTCTCCTTTCTCGAGTAGAGAGAGAGAAAGAGAGACATTAATGGATTTTTTTACACTGAAAATAATCTCTTGATAAAACTACCAAATGCATTTTCAAAAATGATTTCTGTCTAAGATTGAAAACGTTTTTCATTTTTCTTTTCATACAAAAAAAAAAAATCATTTTGGAACGAGTTCCAAACACGCTCGTTAAAATTTAAAGGTTCAGAACCGTGCTCAATGGTGGGGTTATTATTATTATTTTTTATATTATATCCATATCCTATGAGAATTCTCTACCCACATATTTTTATAATTCTATAGTAAGTTATGACAAAAATTATTTGTAAGGTATAGTTTTAAATCTCAAATTAGCATTAAAATCATAATGAGCTTAAAAAGAGAAAAAAGTGGAAGTTTAACGGTTTAAAACTATGATCGATGGTGAATTTTTTTCATTTATTTATCCTAAAAGAGAATTCTCTAATTTTTAGAAAAATCTGCTGCTAAACCCTCTCATTTCAATAATATTTTTTTTTATTTGTCTAAATACTAGGCTCTGTCTAATGCATGGAAAGATGCATGTGCATCACCAATAAGGGGTAAAGTGTTGATCCCAAGAGGCACATACAAGTTAAGCCGGGCAACCCTAGAAGGACCTTGCAAGGTTCCAATCAAGGTTCAGCTACAAGGCACATTGCGGGCCCCAACTGATCCGAGTGGTTTCAACGAGGGCGATGGTTGGGTCACATTCCGAAATGTTGACGGGCTAACCTTAGCCGGCGGTGGCACTTTCGACGGCCAGGGCAGCGCTGTTTGGGGAAAGAATTGTGAGCAGCAACAGTATTGCGGAAAACTCCCCATTGTAAGCTTCTTTCCATCCAACATTTTTACACAAATAGTTTAGCACGTACATTTCACTAATTATAGATTACTGTTGTTACACATGAACAGAATTTTCGATTCGATTTTGTGACAAATTCCTTAATTCGGGACATAATCTCGCTAAACAGCAAACAGTTCCACATAAACGTGTTGGGGGGCCAAAATGTCACATTTTCACGTGTTAAAATAATTGCTCCGGAAGATAGCCCTAATACAGATGGAATTCATATTGGTCGGTCGAGTGGGATTAGCATTACAGACACAGTTATTCAAACGGGTGATGATTGTGTTTCTCTTGGTGATGGGTGTAAAGAAATTAGTATTAGAAGAGTAACTTGTGGACCGGGACATGGCATAAGCGTGGGGAGTCTTGGAAAGTATTCAAATGAAGACCCCGTAGAAGGAGTAATTGTTAGGAATTGCACCATTCGAAATACCTCTAATGGAGTTAGAGTGAAAACGTGGCCAGATTCCCATGACGGTTTAGCCTCAAACTTGCATTTTGAGGACATTGTAATGGAAAATGTTGGGAATCCTGTACTTATAGACCAAGAATACTGCCCATGGAATCAATGTAACGCCAAGGTACGATTATTTATTTATTTATTAATTTAGGGGAATATATATCTATGTTATTCGATCATATATATATATATATGTATGTATATATTATGACTAAACCTTCAGTCTTGCAACTCATTTTATGTAAAATTATAAAATTAACTCTTATTAAACTATATATGGTTCTCACATGTCTTTTTTTTTTTTTCTCAATTAAGATTAAAATTACTTAAGGACTTTGATGGATATATAGAAGACTAGCTAGTTTGGGATAATTTAAAAGATCGAAGACTTAGTCTAGGATTTTATGCCGTCGGGGATTAAAAATGAGATTTTTGGCCGGGACTAAAACGTGACTAACTTTAATATTAAAAATTAAAAGATCAACATTTTTGAGAAAACACAATATGCTAGGTAATAATACTTGATAAATAATATTGAGTTTTTTTTTTTATTTTTTATTTTAAATATTTTTTAAAGACTACCGTAGCTATATCTAAATTAGATACTTTACACATTGCTAAATATGATTATACATGTTCTCAGGTACCATCAAGAATTAAGATAAGCGATGTGAGCTTCAAGAACATTAGGGGTACTTCAACAACTGCACTCGCTGTAAACCTTGTATGTAGCAGTGGATTTCCATGCCAGAATGTGGAAATTGCTGACATTGATCTCCAATACAGTGGAAACGATGGACCTATTATGTCGCAATGCAAGAATGTCAAGCCCACAATATCTGGCAAACAAAATCCAAACCCATGTGCCACTTGAATGTGATCAAGAGAGAAATACCGTCGTTTTGTGTAGATTTATTATTTATATCATTCTAAATGATTGAGTGTTATTGTAATTTTTTTTGTTGTTTATTGAATGAAAATTATTTATTTTTAAGTGAAGCGACATAGATAATATTTTTTTTTACTATTTTAAGTGACATTCCTGATTTTTATGCTTATTAATCATGTATGTATGGAAAAGTATACAAAAAAATCATATTTGATTTAAATGAGTGCATAAGAGAAACAACTTATTGATCTGCTTGATATGCAATATTAATGAGCTTGCTAATTATTCTTTTGTTTCTTATCTTTACCTCTGTAGTCAATCAATGGTCAAGAAATTAATTATAGAAATGTGATCATTAAAACTATTTAATTATACAACTGGGGTTGCAATATTAAATTCTTAATAATGCTTCGGAATACAGAATTACAGATCAGCAATTTAATTCATCATAAAAAATTTTGGGGCCTTTTTTTTTTCTTTTTTTTGAGAGGTCAGGTTAATAAGAAGGCACGTCATTGTCTTCAATATCTTGTATAGACTTAAAATCTCATTGAAATATTATTTACCTATTTATGTGGCCAGAGAAAGTACTGATCAGGAAAGATTACGTTTTTTTTCTCCCTAAAACCTCATTTAAAAATGAAAGTTCTCAGGTAAATTATTCATGTAAAAAGTGTCCTTACAACTAGTGCTGGAATTTTGGACGGGCCGCCCGTGATCGCCCGAAAAGCCTGAGGATTTGCCCGAGCCCAAGCCCGACCCGCCCGAATTGCCTGAATTTTTTAAACTTTTTTTTAAATATTAAGTTATTTATATAAATATATATATTAGTATTACAATTTAT